ATTTTTTTTTTGTTTCCCTCGAACACGATCGTCAGTCGGCGCTGATCATGTGGCGCCAACGTGATTGCCGGCGCGTTACGGTATTCTCTCTCATCGAAGACGCGCGTCTCTCCGTGTTCTATGCAATTACGTGGCGAAGCACGACGTTATTAGCGTAAGCACAACGTCGGAAGTATTATATCGCGCCTTAGACTGCGGGACAATTTCAGTTCGCCAAGTTGGAAAAGAGAGAGGGAGAATGGAAATAATGCCCGAAGGCACGTTCGTCCCCTTGTTCGCCGGTTCTGTCGTGTATTCGACATTGTCAAACTTTGTACATTAGACGACGCCGTACGTCGGAGTGTAACGCGATCTTCTTCCAGACTTGGCGCGCGACAAAGCGCAAGAAATCCCATCTACGTAACGGCACGACGTGCAATAAACGGCTTAGAGAAAGTTCGATCTTTTTAGCAATACTCCATCGCGCGGGACCCTCGACCACGAACGACTCTGCCGAGAAACTTGGTCGCTCTTGATCGAGGAAACGGTCTCTTGCGAGCGCGTTACACCGATACAAAGTATAAGGTAAAACGAGCCGAGGGAAACAACGCGGTCTACAAATCGTCGGAAGATAAGTGTCGCTGAAACTCACTCGGATAAATTCCGTTAGAGAACGAAACGTCGGTGTTTTACGAAGCAATAATATGTATTTCTTACCAAGATTCCTATACTTTGAAATATGCGAATAACGGTTTTCGTAAACGGATGCTCGTTTGTCTTTTTTTTTTAAATTTGTGCATAATATTGCGTTATTGAGAATTTAAATCTAGAAAAATTTATAGTATAACTGAGGATAAATATATTTATTTTATTATTTTTATATATTTACGAATTATATTTTCAATTGCGGAAACATCAACGCGCCGATATAATATAATATTCTTTATTTTAAAATATTTGGATTTTCTAATTTTTTAAGTAACTTTTCAATAAAAGAGAATTATTCCAAACTTAGAAAAAAAAAACAGCAGAAATGCTTGGAATATTCTCCACATTAACCCATCGAGAAACTTTAATACTGACGTGTATTTTAAGATACTCTTAAACAGATATCTCAGACAGGGCGTGTTGGTAAGCATGGCTCGTTTTTTCTCAGAGATAAGAAAAGATCTGTCCTGGCGTGCTTTTAAGAGGCGGAGCATCTGCAAGAAATAAAATTGGCAAGAAATGCAAGATATTGATATAATGCGAGTTAGCCGAATAAATAATCGATCTGAGAGAGAGAGAGAGAGAGAGAGAGAGAAGCAATTGATAATAACATATAAATATGCTATTTTGACATAATTTTTTAAAAAATTTAGAATCTATAACTTTTGAATAAAAGTTTTCCGGCATGTCTTAAATGACAACCAAGCATAAATCTGTTTCAGCTTATTCATTCTCTATTATAAAAATTATTTTTCTTCTGAAATAATTAACGATAAAATTTATAAAGTTCATATCGAGAAAGCTTAAAACGTTTCGAGGAAAGTAAAACAGTTTGCTATCAGATTAATTAAGCGTGTACTTGAAATATCGTTGCAAGTTTTCAAGTATCATTACAGCAAATAGATGGACATGTTCTTTTGCTGCATCGAGGAGAGATAAAAGACAACGGCATTCAGAGCGATTACGTTGCGCTCAAAGGAACGGGGAACCGTAGACATTAATCGGATTTGTCTCTTTGTTTTCCCCTTTTTATAAAGGAATCGAGAATACAGGCGCGTATGTTGGCATCGCGAATACGGTTTCGGAATAACAATACTGTCAAATATTCGACGTTGCACAAGCGTCGAATGATGCCCTTTTCCAGCTCGGTCGAGATGAGGCAGCGAGGGTGCGTGTTTGTTCCGTAAACTGATAAAATTCGTTACAACGTCGACGAGAGTACGACACGTAGGGGTTCGAGCCTGAAAATTAATTCCATCTCCCATACTGACCTCTTTCGCGCACACTTCGCGATCCTTTGTCCTTCAAAACGAACGCGCACGATCGGTCGTGCATTGAAATACGCAATGTCACGTGTTGTTTCAGCTCGTCGTTCGCACAGCCGCGCGATTCCCGCATTTTTTTCGCCGACAGTGCCGAAACGAACATATACACACGTTCGTACGTATGGAAAAATATCGTGGAAATATTCTCGAACGATTCGAACTGCCCGATTTTTTTTCCCCGTCCCCCTCTGTCGCTATCTGTCTCGATCGTTTTTAAAATCTCCCGGCCTTCGCTCACCATCCTTCTTGCGAAGTTGCCTCTCCATTTTCTGCGCGCGGCATCGCAATTCACGGTCGATTTAACTGGCAAAACGAGTTTCTATATGCGAGCATTGTCGTGATCGCCGAACGATATAAGACCCACCCTCGGGGCTTGAAAAATCATCCATCCATCCGTTTTCTTAGCTTTTCGTTGGAGAGCTCAAAGCTGTCCAAATCTCACCGAGAAAAGAAAAAAGAGGGAGGGAGAGAGAGAGAAAGGAAGAGGTAAAAAACAAAGCACGTAATTTCGCTCAAATGTTTTTGCGTTGCTCTGTCAAAGGATCCGCGCTACGGTTCGTTGTTTCTACAATTCAACGCCGCCGGCTTTGGCCTCTTTGAAAGACAAGAAGCCAACAGAGGTCTTTCGAAAAACCGTCGAGTACAATCTTAGATGTCCGTCGTTGTTCTCGATATCCTGCATAATCCTGCTTTGTCACTATAAGTCGTATACTTGCTAGCTAGACGAACGTTTTTCGTGAGTGGCGTCGAAACTTTGAGAAAGAAATCACGGAAGAAATTGGACGTTTCCTATGTCCCGATCTATTTTCTATTCGTCTATCCCCCGCCGATTTTGCCGGAGTGAATTTAAGCGGATGCGAAAGAAACGTGATTTTATTTACGTATGCGATGCAGAGTCGCGTGGAGTCTTTCTATATATCCGGCGTCGTATGCAAATACATTTGGGAAGATTGCAACGGGATTTTCCTCTGGACTTGACCGTATGATACAGCAGTATAAATCCGAGGAAAATGTATTCCGCGGTCGACGCGCTTGCTGAAGATCATATTTGATACAGTAGCTAGCAAACATTGTTACGCTAACATGGAAATATATCGTCGAGCATATTGATGAACATTTTCGTGATTGCATTAAATGTTACTGGCAAACTTGTGAAATTAAATTAATTTTTAATTCGAAAATAGAATTATAAAGCTATTCTTTTTGTGAAAAAGAAATTCTCGAAAATACTTTTTGATTTTTATAAACTGCATATATATGCTATAATTTTTTGCGTTGTTTGAAATATTAAATTCGATTCGCCCGTAAAAGGGAAACGAGACATCTCATTAACGTATACCAAGATTGGAAATACGAGGGGATGTCATCCGGTCGGCAACATTTCAAGGTTGGATGCAAGGCTTCGCGGACGCGGATAGCGATATAACGCGAATGTTGAGAAGGCGCCAACCCGGCGCGGACTCGCTCTCGCTCGCTCGTCTCGTTTTTTCTTTTTTACTTACACTCACCTGTGCATGCGCGCGTTCTGTAGATATCATACATTATCGCGGAGGAAAGTTGCAGACGGGGAATTGCGGAGGAAGGAGAAAAACGCGCCGTAGCTTAAGTGCTTTTTATTTTACGTCGATTACGAATCAGCGACTGTGTAATTGGCGTCGAGTACGCGTGAACGAGCGTTTCTCGTGAGCGACCGATTCGCCGAGACACGCGTACGCTTGGTGTTCCACGTTTCAGACGCTTTAAAGCTCAATCTTCTTTCAGTTTGTTATTAAAGATGCTCCCTTTAATAATTATCGCGTCGCTTTACAAATACGAGCGAAATGACTTTGAATGGACGCGGAAAACAATCTCGTCTCCACAATTTCGCCAGTCACGAACGACGAGGCAATTCCAGGCTATCGTTTTATCTCTGAGAGATAATTATGCGACCGTCAAAGCGATTCTTATACCACGATTATATTCATTTTTATTCTGATTATTATCATCTTCCTATTTCTCGAAAACTGATAGCAAATAATTCGAAATTAATTATTTACAGCGTTTTTATTTGCGAACATCTCGAAACGGTTTTAACAAGGGAGAGCTAACCGTGTTATTTATTCGGACGCGCTTTCATTGACGTAATGGTATCATTTCTATTCCAACGGTGGATATCGTATCGATATCGAGCTGTCAAATGTGCCGTGAGATATATCGACTCGTGCAAACGCGACCGGAGGCATCGCTGGTCAAGATTAGAGAGAATTCGAGTGGAGGACACTAGGAAGATAGGCAAAATCCTGGCACCCATATCGTATTTCGCCTATATCCTGACACGCGAGCCGCTGATATTGGAACTTTGGTTCTGAAACTGTCAGGCGGGGGAATGATGTTGCGTTAGCTAAATTCATGAGAAACCATCGATACATCGGTTTTGGTGTATTTTCGCAAAAATAATATTTTTTGTATCGAAATTTTGTTTCTTATTTACTTTTTATCGCCTCTTCTATCATATTTATGTTGTTATTTCAAAAGAAGCTTACTTAGAATATTACAAGGAAAAATTTCTATTTTTTTCTCTATAAAATATCTATAAAATATCTATAAATCGCATACGATGAGCAAATGTCACTTTTTTTATTAGGTACGCGGAACGCGCCATACATGAGCTAGTAGTCGTAGCAAAGGATCGCGGAGCTCTATTTCGCAGCGTTGGCACCAGTCGTGCGAGCACGGCAAGGGTCACGATCAGGGTGCGACAGGTGAATCTATACGCGCCCGAGATCTACGTTCACCAGCTGCCCGACATTGTCGAGAACTCGAACGCCGACATTTACGCGATCGTGCGGGTGATCGACCGCGACGAGGGTGTGCACGGACAGATCGCGAGTCTCGACATCGTGGGCGGAGACCCGGCCGGTCACTTCAGGGTGCGCCCGGTCGGCGGGCCACGCTCCGGCGAGTATAACATCGAGGTGCTCCACCTGCTCGATCGCGAGACCGCGCTCCAGGGTTACAATCTCACCGTACGCGCAATGGACCGTGGGGTGCCGCAGAGGTACAGCTACAAATTCGTGCCGGTGCACTTGACGGACATGAACGACAACGCGCCGGTGTTCAGTCGCGAGATTTACGAGGTCAAGGTACCGGAAACGGCGCCCATCAACACGCCGGTAATCAGACTGAAAGTTACAGATGCGGACGAGGGTAGAAACGCGTTGGTTTACCTCGAGATAGTGGGCGGCAACGAGGGTGGCGAGTTTTACGTGAACGCCGAGACCGGGATGTTATACACTGCCGTCGAACTGGATACCGAGAAGAAGGCATTTTACACGCTCACGGTATCGGCGATCGATCAAGGTAATGCGGGCACCAGGAAGCAATCCTCGGCCAAGGTGAAGATCAATGTGGTCGATACCAATGACAACGATCCGACCTTCGATCAGCCGGAAATGGAGGTGTGGTTGGACGAGAACGAGCCCGCCGGCACATCCGTCGTCCGAGTGACAGCGAAAGATCGTGATTCCGGTGAAAACGCCTACATATCTTACAGTATCGACAACCTGAAGACGGTGCCGTTCGAAATCGATCATTTTTCCGGTATCGTCAAAACGAAGCAGGTGCTCGATTACGAGACCATGAAGCGGGAGTATCTGCTGCATGTTCGAGCCAGCGATTGGGGCCTGCCTTATCGGCGTCAAGCGGAGATGCAGTTGCGGGTGAAATTACGCGACGTGAACGATAATCGACCGCAGTTCGAGCGAATCGACTGTGTCGGCCGCGTGCCGCGATACGTGTCAATCGGCTCCGAGATTATCACCGTGTCCGCGATCGACTTTGACGCCGGGAACATCGTCAGTTATCGGATAGTCTCCGGTAATCCCGACGGTTGCTTCGCCCTCGACTCGGCCAGCGGCGTCCTCTCGGTCGCCTGCGATCTGTCGGACATCAAGGTCACCGAGAGAATCATCAACGTTACCGCCACCGATGGCACGCACTTCGCCGACGTCAATCCCGTTCACATGCATCTCGTGAACGCCAAACGGAATCTGGGCTCGCAAGCGAGGATTCTCACCGACGAGACCGGCGCTTTCGAATGCCACGATACCGGCGTGGCCCGAAGACTGACGGACGCGATTGCCTCTGCGGAGAAGAACAACATGCCGTCGCGGAACGACGAGTATACCCTGATACCGAGTCGTTACGGCGAGAACGTGCACGTGCCCGAGTTCATTGATTTCCCGAGCGAGATACGGGTCAACGAGTCGCTCAAGCTCGGCACGACTCTCGTGCGAATACGCGCCCGCGATCGCGACCTTGATTACAACGGCAAGCTCGTCTTCGTCATCTCCAGCGGCGACCGCGATTCCGTCTTTGGCATTGATCCAGACACCGGTGACCTGAACACGATCGGTTATCTGGATCGCGAACGGGAGAGCGAGTATTATCTGAATATAAGCGTGTTTGATCTCGGCAAGCCGCAAAAGTCTACCTCGAAGATGCTGCCGGTAACCATCCTGGATGTCAACGACAACGCGCCCAAGTTCGAAAAATCCTTGGCGAGCTTCAGGATCTCCGAGACCGCGCTAAATGGCACGAACGTGTGGCGCGCCAACGCCACTGATGCCGATCTCGGCGATAACGCACGTGTCACCTATTCCCTCGTGACAGAGACCAATGACTTTCGCGTGGATCCCGTGACGGGTGTGCTGAGTATCTTCGGCAAGCTCGACAGGGAACGGCAAGAGATATACGAGCTGAGAATTCGCGCGCGCGATAACGGTGGCAAGGATACCGACACTCCGCCCCTGTATTCAGACGCACTCGTCAGGGTGACGGTCGACGATGTCAACGATAACGCGCCCACCTTCGCGCTGTCAACGTACAACGTCAAGATCCGCGAGGACGTGCCGGTGTGGACCGTCGTAGCCGTCGTGGACGCCACGGATCCTGACGAAGGCGCGGGCGGTGACGTGGAGTATTTCCTGTCGGATGCTATGGAGAGTGAAGGCTTCTTTAAGGTCGACAAGGTTTCGGGGACGGTGAGAACAACTCAGAGTTTAGACTTTGAAGAGCGACAGGCGCACACGTTGACGATAGTCGCGCGCGATCGCGGTGAACCATCCCTGTCCTCCGAGACGATGCTTGTGATCGAGGTGATCGACGTGAACGAAAACCTTTACTCGCCGGTCTTCGATGACTTTGTCGTGTCAGCGAGTGTCTTCGAGAATCAATCAGTGGGCACCCTCGTCACCACGGTTCGAGCCAAGGACGCGGATCCACCCGGCGGAGATTCCAAGATTGGCTACAGCATCCGAGGAGGCGACGGCGTCGGCATCTTCTCCATCGACGAGGAAGGTAAGTGAAATTAATTATAGTTTTATTTAAAAGATAAATAGAGTATTTAAATATGTTACAGGCTAACGATTTGATAAAAATGTATGTTAACTGTCGAGCTGCGATTAGTAAAATTTTTCGTGTTTTAAAAAAAAAACGGAGAAATCTGGAAAAATTAAAAAAAATAAAACTAAAATGACAATATTAAAATGAAAATTGAAAAATCGAACAGTCTGCGATTTTCCGAAATACTATCGAATTTTAATCGATATTGGCTACACGTATTCTTCGGCAATAACTTCTACGTCCATACGCTTGACGTAAATCGCCGCGCCCATATTGAATTCAAGAATTTTCAATCAAATATCGCAAGATGTGCGCTTCCTTTGAGGATAGGAATGAAAGAAGTATCAGAGTCCCACCAAGATTTCCCAATATCCCATTCAATAACCACCGAATGCAGTTTCGCGTGACAAGTTAAACATATATTCGACTTTACAGTATTAATGATTTTAATTTACTCGACTGCACGTACAACGAGTTTATAAATATCGCTACGTTAATGGATATGTGCTCTTTTAAAAAAATACGTGGTGTGTTCATATATTCATAAATTACAATATTTCTAATAGATAAATAGGAAATACTGTATAGTATTTAACATTTTATACATGTCACGCGTAATTCAAATATGAGATCAAAGCGGATGTATAGGGATTATTTCACAGGAAATAATATAAAGTGCAGTTTTAATCTCTCGTTTCACGGATTTTTTATTTTAACTTTTAAATAATTTTTAAATTGCTTACAAATAGCGAAAGAAGTCTGCTTGCAAATTATATACATACATTGGATCAATCAATTGCTCGCTGATCGAACATCATTAATTATTACGATATTAAAACGAGAAATATAATTGATTTTATAACGTAAACGCGTGAATCGAACTGTCGCGATAGAGTTGGAAAGTTTTCGCTCGAGGATTAGCAAGTATATTTGACAACATTCGCGGACAATTTCCTGCAAATATTTAAGAGCACGGAACACTTATTTCGCTCGAATAATCGTGTATTAGCAAATAGTACCGACTATAAATTATACGCGCTGAGCATTCATAAAGCCCATCCCCTTCAATTGCTTTCGTCGACAAATCATTGTGCTTCTATTCATTTCATAAACCCTTCCGCGATATTCATTCATCCGGAGTGCCTTCTGTATTATCAAGCAACTCTCTCCGAATGCAGAGGAATAGCTTCCCTGTTTCTCTGTATTTTCCCTAGCTTCTCTTCTTTAATGCAAAACGGGGCGACTAAATAATCACATCGCAGTGGTGCTAAAGTCAACTTCGTCGACTGTATTTCGCTTTTCACATGCTTCTGATGAAAAAACAGCCGCATGGCCATTAGACGAACGGAATACCCGGTATTATTAAAACACATTCGATATTTTCAAGCTTTTTCTCTTTGCGAAAGATTTTTAAATAGAGTATTTAAATATGTTACAGGCTAACGATTTGATAAAAATGTATGTTAACTGTCGAGCTGCGATTAGTAAAATTTTTCGTGTTTTAAAAAAAAAACGGAGAAATCTGGAAAAATTAAAAAAAATAAAACTAAAATGACAATATTAAAATGAAAATTGAAAAATCGAACAGTCTGCGATTTTCCGAAATACTATCGAATTTTAATCGATATTGGCTGCACGTATTCTTCGGCAATAACTTCTACGTCCATACGCTTGACGTAAATCGCCGCGCCCATATTGAATTCAAGAATTTTCAATCAAATATCGCAAGATGTGCGCTTCCTTTGAGGATAGGAATGAAAGAAGTATCAGAGTCCCACCAAGATTTCCCAATATCCCATTCAATAACCACCGAATGCAGTTTCGCGTGACAAGTTAAACATATATTCGACTTTACAGTATTAATGATTTTAATTTACTCGACTGCACGTACAACGAGTTTATAAATATCGCTACGTTAATGGATATGTGCTCTTTTAAAAAAATACGTGGTGTGTTCATATATTCATAAATTACAATATTTCTAATAGATAAATAGGAAATACTGTATAGTATTTAACATTTTATACATGTCACGCGTAATTCAAATATGAGATCAAAGCGGATGTATAGGGATTATTTCACAGGAAATAATATAAAGTGCAGTTTTAATCTCTCGTTTCACGGATTTTTTATTTTAACTTTTAAATAATTTTTAAATTGATATACATTTTTATCGATACACACACACATATATATATATATATATACGCTTTGAAACAATTTTATTATAAAATATAAATGCATCACGCTTTGTCCTTTCGCGAAAAGAGGGCTCGCACATTTACTCATGCGAAAACATTCGCTTAGTGTACACCTACATGCGCACGTAAAGTGCGCCCATTTTTTTTTTCTTGTTTCGTTTCCAAGTATTTTTGCCGGGTCCTTCGGGCACAAAAGGGCGTGCAACGTGCACACGCTGTGCCCTTTCTGCATCGGGCATGGCTCGCGTCGTCGGACGCGCCGTGGCACCGATCCAAAGCGAAGCTGCAGCGTCGCGGCCCATTTTTCGAGTGCGCGCGAGGCGCATTAAATTTCTCCAGCAGTCTCCTTTCACCGCGGAAATCGTCTCTCGAGAAATCGCACGTCATTCCGCTTAATGGTTAATTCCTGTGTACCGGTGCCACATCGGTCACGGCGACCGGTCATAATGCACCAATGATCGTTTCTTGATGAATGCACCAGCCGAGAACGAGGATTTCGCGGACGAAATAGGTTTCCGGCTAATTTTCACGAGACGTTTTGACGCCGATTCTGTTCACTTTGCTGGCCTGCGGCAGCGGACGTTAGCCCATTAATAAAGCTTTATACATCAACGAGCGTTCCGAAAGCTCCGTTGATCGTACGCGAAACGAAGGAAAAGCTCGCGATGAGTCGCGTAGTTTAAAGCGGATGGATCGGTATTCGAAAGTGGTTGATTTTTCTCGCTCTCTTCCTTTTTTTTCTCTCTCTCTCTCTTTTTACGTTATCTTGAGTAGAGCCAGCTTCATTCGATATTTCATCTCCCTTTACACCAGCAGGTGAATAAACACTGGAATGTTCTTAATTGCGAGAATTCGAGGAATTTACGCGAAAACGGATAGAATCGTATGCTACGCATCCCATGTGATATGAGAGATATATGAGTCTTGTGAATCGTGAAATAGTCTCGTATTAACATTCACTTCGGTAATTTGCATTAACTCGGCTTTCAATTGGAAAAGTTTAAAAAATATTAATTTGTCAATTGTTACATATCAAAGTCGATCAAATTCTCTCGTATATAAATCATGATCGAGTACCGTTTCTCCGGATGCCTCGATACAATCGGACGACATTCGCACGAGGATTTCGAACGGCGGATTTTTAAAAGCAAAAAAAAAAAAAAAAAAAAAAAATCTGTCTGGCCGTGACCGCGTTTGCCGAGCGTGTGGTTGTTTCGATATTGGTCGACGTAAGTTGATTGAAAAATTGTTGACGTAAAATTAATTCCGTTACCTCGCACCCGTTTGTTGGGCTTACTACGCGATTTACTCGATTCTACCGGTGGGCGGATAATGGTTATGAACCTTTGCTTAAATATTGTGCCAGAATTAACAAGGGTGTGTCATGCTCTAACGAACCGGCGAAAAGCAAGCGAGCGCAACCAGGACGCGCAAACGGTTACACTATATATCTAATAATATGTACGCCCACAGCAATAAAGCGTTTGCACCGTCCACAGCAATTACGCGGCTGTTTACATAGAAATACTCTTACTGCTTAACAAACCGTAGTGTGCAGCGATATTTTCCTAAATGTATTTTTGCGGCGACATTGCATTTAAAATAACGGCATAAAGAAAATATTGCGACAGAGCGCATAGCCTACATCCGTAAACTCTACACGTTTGCCCCACATTTGTTAGTATAATAAAATACAATTCTTTTTATTACGTACACAAAATTACACTCATTCTGTCATTACATTCTTACAATGGTCGTCTCACGTTGCTTAAATTTTATAATCTGGAAATATAGAGCAATACAGGGGAACGAATACAATTCTATATTTTATACACTATTTGAATAAAATTCTTTATATTTGTACATAAATAAATATGCGAAGTAAGTTGCGTGAATCGGGGTCAATCGTTTCGACCATCGAGGATAACGCTTCATAAATTAAACGCGAATATTATCGTCGAGGAAGTCAAGAGGCGAGAGGCAACGTGTTCAAAACTTAAAAGTGTGCTTTTATCCGAGTTCATAAACTTAATTATTTATAGAGAGCGAAAGAACATCTTGCTCTGCTGTATGGCCGTATGGAGAGAAATCGAGATGAAAATACTTCGACCACATCGACGCTCAATTCTGCTTCATAAAGTACGTGGTCGGCGAACAGACCAGCTACACATGATAATGTCTCGTAACGATACGCGACTTTATTTATTGGCTGTTTCCGTTCAGTTTACACATCGCAACGATATATATATACCGGCTTAGAAAGTCAATTGTAGATATATTAAAGTCACGGAAAATTCTTTTTTAATTTACTCTCGACTGCGGCATGTGTAGTTTATTTGTAAAAAGATATTGACATTCTTTGAATGAGATTTACATGATTTGAAAATGAAACGTTTTTATCTCTGCTTCATATATGAAAATCATTAAATCCGCATTTAGTCGGCAGAGTTACCTAATGAAAGACGTTATATTTGCTCTTACTATCTTTGAAAGTCGATAACCATCTGGCAAGCAGCTTTCCCGGCTGCCGATGATAATCGCATCGTCAAAATTACAGATCGACATCGGAGAAATTCATTTACGAACGTAAATGACGTTAGGATAATGAGACGCGTCCGATTATAAATCACGTAATGTAGCCAACAAGATTCCAACGTGGCATTGTAATGTAATGTGTCGTAAAACACGTTTTCGACGAATCGTGGCGTCACGCCCGTAACGCTCCATTCACGCGTGTTGTGCGTACAAACTCGC